GGCCTAACTCTAACAGTCTAGGACTTTGGTACACAAGGGCAACTACTGAATCAGCCTATGCTCCCACGCTCGGGTGATCATGAGCGGTGTATATTGTAGTACACTTGACCATTATGTTGACTCCTCATGGATGGTTAGAATGCATTATCTCAAATGTCTTTACATTTTCACACACACACATGTCAACATAGAAAGTATGAGCTTGAAGAACCAATGGATATTCGTTTGTAACCTTTTCACCGCTTGACTCAATAACCATATTAACCTGAGAGACCTCACCAACATGTCATCAAAACCCTTTTAATAATTGCTCACATCCATATTTTCTCATTTAGTGACACTTGTAAGAGACGTGTATACTCGAAGCAATATACTTTTTGAGCTGGCATCCAACGTGAACGGCCACGCATATGCTGAGACGTGGCAGGTTCACACCTGTTGCTTGATCAACCACGCCGTGTCCAGCTGGCTCCATTCCAGCACCTTGTCTGGCCAGATGTCCATGGGTGCGTCGTGCGTGATGCCCTTATTCACCTTACTCGCAATAGATATTCCCTATTTCTTTTATACCTATGTAGATATAATCTCAAGTAAAAAAAATCTACATATGTCATGCAAAATTCTCAACACTAACAATTGTACTATAATTGTATTTTGTACACGAGTTAGAACTATACTATAATTACTTGCCATTCATTGTTTCAGAATTTTCAATAGGTTACCGTATTGTATATTGACTCTTGTATATTTTTTCTGCGTTAAAAATGCATTAATTCGTCCCCCTTGGGCGGGTAACATATGCGCTCAAAAGCAATAAAACCCGAAACAAAAACCCAATAAAATCTCGCATCCTCTCGCTGTCCCGTCGCCTAACCCCACCCCCACCTCCAGGCGCTGCCGGCGCCTCCTCCCGGCTCGCCGAACTCCGCCGCCCCGCCCAAGCTTCCGAACTCCTTTCACAAGACCGGCGCGGATAAGGTCTTCGCCTCTCCGGTTCCTCCCCACCCGTCTCGGAACCAGGACCCCATCGGGCTGGATCTAGGGTTGCAAGGGGAGGGGTTCTGGAGGCCTCCGCCACGATGGAGGCGGCCGATCTCGCCGCGGACGGCCGCATCTTCAAGGCCGACTTCACCGACGCCGGCGCCTACCAGCTGCGGGAGCGCATGCGGGAGAAGCTCCGTGAGTTCGAGGGCAGCGCCGAAGACTCCATCGCGGTAAGATGTCGCCACTCTTCCCCCTCCCCTCCCCTCCCCTGCCTGTTGGCCTTCGCGTCGGTGTGTGCCTGGGTTCTGTAGTTGTACGAATTGTGCTATTGTGTTACCTTGTTTAGTGCCGCCACTTGCTCTCCCATGACGCGGTTAGGTCTCAGGACCTGGCAGGTTCGCATCTTTTGCTTGATTATTTGCTGCCAATGTAGTGCCACCTGTCGGTTCTAATTTGGTGTGCCTTCTAGTCGTATATAGACTACACTGTGCTTCACCTAGGCGAATTCAGTTAGTGCAACAGGCCAGAATCACCGAAATAACCTGTGATCACGCACGGTTTCGTCAACTGAGAACATTATGTTTATATTTGGTTCATTCCCCCCATTGGTGGGACTTTTTACAAGGCGATCATAGACTAGGAAATCTTCTTTGTGTTTGTTGCTGGGCTTTTCCGTGTACTCCCAGGCAAGGTTTAATTATTCAGCACCACTACAGAGTTGCTCAGTAATCATGGAACCCCCTAACACACACACGCACCAAATTTTTGTACTTTCCTACTTTGTTGAAGTACTAAAGTTTGGATGGAGCTCTGTTATCGACTTCTGCATGATGTTGGTTCGTTGCAGTTTGAACCTTGAACATGTTTGTGCATAGAATGAGTTTGACATCAAATACATTTCTTCAGCAGATATCATCTCCATGTATTCATTTTTTTGCACACACCAGGAAGTTAAACATCATGTTTTCATTCTCCTGTTGCTTTATTATTTAGATATAGATTTTTTGAGAGGGCAATAAGTGGACCTCTGTTGTTATCTTAAGTGCAGGACTACGTTATTGTGCTTCTCAGGAATGGAAAACGCAAGGACCAGGCCAGGAAGGAGCTCCATATTTTTTTAGGAGTTGATGACAGTGCATTGTTTATTTCATGGTTAGTACACTTGACGTGTGATTTATATTTCTGTGTGAACTAAGCTGACGACCAATCTCTATATTATTCCATAGTATTCTGTATAATCATAAATATTCAATATTCACTTATGGATGCGTATATAGACTCTAGAGAAATTTTTATTTTAGACTCAGTTCATGCAGACTACTTTTGTTTCAGCACTGAATCAACACGGAACTTTCCAAAAGAGGAGATAGTTTATAGATTATTGCATTGCCCTTTAAATCTCAAGTTCAATTAACTTGAATATAAATGAAAAGCAGTTCGCTGTTAATAGTACCGCTTGTTCTTCTCTTTCTCTTCTTTTGTTTCTCACAAGATAAATTGAATATGAGCTTGAATTTTATATGGAGTTATGCTAAATTAAGAGCCTTTCTGTAGTTCTGATATTGGTTTGGTGCTTAACACTAAGCGGTCTGCGCAGTTTTATTGTAAAACATTATGAATGTGTGATACACATCGAATTTTAAAGTAATGATTTTTTTTGCATGGATTTTTTGTGAATTTGTTACTTATCTGCTTGCAACTGTGAAGAGGTGACGAAGTCTGTTTTTCTAGCTGGATTATTATTGTGTACTATAACAAAAAATATAAAATTTTCAACATTTCCAATCAAAAGTAATTGATATTCGTATTATCTTATCAAGTGTAATAATGAACACACTATTGTACGCCCTTATAGGCTGTGGGATCATCTATCTTTAAATTTGCACCTGTATGTGCAAACACAAGAGCAGGAGGTGGAGAACAAGGACGATGAAATCTCAAAAGAATTATCTGGAAGACATAAATCACCTGAGGTGCACACGAGAAGAGATCAAACGCCTCTTGAGCACACAAGTGAATCAAATACGACCATCAGGAGTCGGAATAAGAGGGATTGGAAAGGAACTGGCAGGGAGGGTAACAGAAACTTTCCACTTCGAAGTGTACTAACGGATATTTTGCACGGAGAAGAGAAAAGGCTGCAAAAGTCTACTGAAATACGGCAGCCTCCATCATCTAATCAACAGAATGGAAGAAAGCGCGATCGGGAGGATGAGCCACAACAAACAAAGGTGCGTATGGAAAATCTTAATAAAAGTTCTGCTTTTGTTAACCAAACGTGTTGTCGGCAACAATGGCCTTAATGTCTATACTTTGCTATGTTTTTTTAATGGCGTGTGTCTGAATTCTGATTTGCATTGTAACGAAATGTTTAATTATTTATGCTTCTCTACATATATCACTAGAAAGAAGCTTGCTAAGACTGACTAGTAAATGTGTAGTGCAATGCACGTTGATATTAGGGAGGAAATTAATTGCACGTCCATACTCCCTCCATTCCACAATGTAGTGCGCTCGCGCTTTCCAGGATTTAAGTTTGACCATAAATTTAACCAACGAGACCAACTGCACGGGAGCAAAAATCATATACCACCAAATTCATATTTTTGATACAAATTCAGTGGTATAATTTTTACTTCCGCCGCAGTCGGTCTCGTTGGTTAAATTTATGGTCAAACTTAGACCTCGGGAAGCGCGGGCACACTACATTGTGGAACGGAGGAAGTATTAGGTAGGATATCAATTACGCATTAATGATTAGCACAGACGTTGATATTTGGTACTCCCTCCGTCTGGAAAAGCTTGTCCCAAGCTGGTGTCCATCAAATGGATGTATCTAGTACATGGATTTCGAGTCGAACGACTAGTCGCGACTAGTCGTCGACTAGTCGACGAGTCGTTACATGAAGGTTGACTCAACCTGTCGACTCGAATCATTGGATGAGTCGAGCGACTTGATCGACTAGTCCCGACTAGTCTCGACTAGTCGCGGTTTTTGAGTCGAACGACTCGATCAACCTGTGATGGAAGAGGAGTTGGGTGTAGAAAACGGAGCAGAGAAGGATGGGGGAGGCGGAGAGGAAGGGGCGAAGGCAGAGAAGCCATGGAAGAGGAGCTGCAGCAAGGCCATTGCGGCTGTCGATTCGTTCCTGGAGGCTGGAAGGGGAGCAGGTGAGAGAGAGAGAGAAAGAAGAGAGTGGATGGACGGTGAAGATTAGAGAATATAGATGGTTCAGATTGAGCTAGGCAGGCTAGGGTTTCATTGGGCCTTATTGGGCTAATATTGCTTCTGGGCCAATATTGAAGGAAGATTGGAGCGTCTGGAAACCTAGATCGAACAGTTCCACTCCCCTCCCCCGACCCAGCTCTCTTCTGCAGCAGCCGCTGCCGCTGGCTGGCTGCTCGTCCCCTTCTCCCCTCGTTGCTGCTGCTCATCCCTTGGTTGCTGCTACTGCAGGTCTGCCCCTCCCATCTCTTGCTGCTGCGGCTCCTCCCTTAGTTGCCGCTGGTCTGCTCCCTACTACTTAACTCACGTCGACTCATCGCATGTCGACTCGTCGACCATGAGTCACGACTAGTCACGACTAGTCTAGAGTCGCCCCCCCTGAGCGACTCGCCGACTCATCGACTCAACCTGTTAACCAACGAGACCGCACTTCCTGAGGTCTAAGTTAGATACATCCATTTAAGGGACAAGCTTTTTCGGACGGAGGGAGTATGATATTAATTGCACGTGAAACATGTTGAGTGCTCAACATTGGAGCAATCTAGGTCATTGGATTGACATGGTTTGATGGCTTAGACTAGATTAATTGGACCTGCCCTTTTGGGTCTTTTTATGTTGGTTTATGGATTTACTAATTCCAATTTTTAACATCACCAATAACAATGTATGACAAAAATTCAGGTCTAAGTTTGTGGCTGAAACGATCATATCTTTAGGTTTGGTTCATTCCATTTTCCAACAATTGCATCACAAAACTAATATTCTTGGTAACTGACAAGTAACAACCCATAATGTAGTGCACTCGTGCTTTCCGGGATTTAAGTTTGACCATAAATTTAACCAACGAGACCGACTGCGGCGGGAGTAAAAATTATACCACTGAATTTGTATCGAGCAAAAATCATACCATTGAATTCGTATTTTCGATACAAATTCAGTGGTATAAATTTTACTCCCGCCGCAGTCGGTCTCGTTGGTTAAATTTATGGTCAAACTTAGACCTCAGGAAGCGCGGGCGCACTACATTGTGGAACGGAGGAAGTATTAGGTAGGATATCAATTACGTGTTAATGATTAGCAGTTTAGCACATACGTTGATATTTAGTATGATATTAATTGCACGTGAAACATGTTGAGTGCTCAACATTGGAGCAATCTAGTGTAGAAAATATTGGATGACTAATGTTTATGTGTTGTATTGATCTGACCCTTGTGTAGGGTATATATAGGAATACAAGAGGGGTAGAGACTTGGAGTACAAGACAAGTTACATGTGGTTTAAACCAATCCTATCTCTAACTCCTAATCTCTAACTTAAACATAATTATACTTCTAACATTCCCCCTCAGTTGTAGCGGGAGTGAAGCGGACGATGACGACTGAATTTGAACTCTTGTGCTTTCGTCGTCTTCTCCGCCGCGCCATCATCAACTGCGTCTCTGATGGGTCGGCACCTAGGGCGGTGACTGCGTCCCCTTCTGGTGCCTTCCTGCCTTCTCCTCTATTCCCTCCCGCAGTCATAGCGGGAGTGTCGTGGACGCAAGTGACGAGGCGGACGCTGTTGACTGGAGTTGTTGCCGATGAGTTGTTGTAGACGTAGCCTTTAATGTCGAGGTAGCCGATCATGGTGATGTAGCCGTGGTCGAGGTAGTCGTGGTCGATGGTGTGGTCGTCGTGGATGATGAAGCCGCACAAAGCCGGAGGCGCAAAAAAAATGCGCTATGACGGAGCTGCAGACGTGGACGATGCACCTTGCTGATGTCAGAGGGTGCCGTCGGCGATGAGTCCACCGATTTTGCCAAGACCGGAGGAAGCCCATCGAGCACACATCGGTTTTGCCAGAACCGTGTGGCCGTGTAGGGTCGTCACTGTAGTGACGCCGTGTCGATGCAGTCGTGTAGTTATGGATGACGCGGTCGATGCCGTCGTCGTGACGCGGTCATTGCCGTCGTCGAGGTCGCGTCTTGCAGACAAGTCTGGCAGAGGACGCTAGATGTCCATCTTGTGGACGAGGCGGCGGTAGTGTGTTCATGATGATGGTGATGAAGACCACGTTGATGAAGACCTTGGCGATGAAGTGTCGGTGATGTAGCGGCGTGTCTACGATGATGCGTCGCTTGGAGGCGTCCCTCGTGGCGACGGATGTCGATGCCGTGTTGTGCTGAAGAAGACGATGATGTAGTCGTACAGCTTGATGAAGTGGTTCGGTGAAGAATTGTTGTTGGCCTCGGTCCTGCGATGGTCGGCTCGGTGTAGCCGGACGTGTAGCCGCCATGTACGTACCGAGGTAGCTGCAGATCTTGTGGAGCGGAGTAGATCGGATCAAAATCTCTGCGTGAGAGGGACGCCCTCCCGTGATCGGACGCGCGTGTCCGCACAGCAGCGAGGCGCCCGCGTTGCCGGTCGACCCTGCAGAAGGGCCGTGGTTGGAGTCCACGGCTCATGCCATACGCATGTTCATCATGGCGAGTCAGGCCTGTGGCAACGCCACGCACGTATGCATGTGCACATGGCCGTGTTCTTGCTGCTTGATGCGTGCATGGGCCATGGAGTCGATGAGGCTGCAGGCTCTTGCGGTCTTGCCGATGGACTGCGGCCGTGCGGGGCATGGCTGGGCGGATTGTCGATGTAGAGCCCATGCGCACTTGGCGCTGGTCGTCGTTGCGAGCCGAAGCGCGTCGGCGTCCCTGGTCAGTGCAGACGAACTGGCCTTTACGACGCGGATGTCCACCTCGTGCCCCATGCGTTGCCGCAGGCACGCACAACCGTGTACATTGACATTAACTTGATTCACCGGAATTTGATCTGATCGTGGGATTTATTTGTGGCTAAATTGGATCTAATCTATGAAGCTGAAAATTTCGAAATTGATCTAAACTAATGTATAGAACCGATCTAGTCTATGTAACTGATCTAGTGCCGCGCCCCCGGGGAGAGAAGATTAATCTCCCCGGGGGCGGCGCGCTGCGGAAGTGGTGGAAGGAACCTAGGATCGGCGTCGTGAGACTAACCGCTCTAATACCATGTAGAAAATATTGGATGACTAATGTTTATGTGTTGTATTGATCTGACCCTTGTGTAGGGTATATATAGGAATACAAGAGGGGTAGAGACTTGGAGTACAAGACAAGTTACATGTGGTTTAAACCAATCCTATCTCTAACTCCTAATCTCTAACTTAAACATAATTATACTTCTAACATCTAGGTCATTGGATTGACATGGTTTGATGGCTTAGACTAGATTAATTGGACCTGCCCCTTTGGGTCTTTTTATGTTGGTATATGGATTTACTAATTCCAATTTTTAACATCAGCAATAACAATGTATGACGAAAATTCAGGTCTAAGTTTGTGGCTGAAACGATCATATCTTTAGGTTTGGTTCATTCCATTTTCCAACAGTTGCATCACAAAACTAATATTCTTGGTAACTGACAAGTGACAACCCAAATGTTTGCTTCCCGTGAATATGCTTATATGAGCTTTAACTATGTTTATAAGCTACAGTAGCTTGTTTCCTATTAAGACCAACTGATTGAGCAAAATGTTGAGAAACTTGTCGAATAGACAAAACATCAGTATGACCACCTTAAATATTTTTATATTCTACTTGGATGAGGAAATTGCCATTGTACCAGTGTGTATTTATACTACGACTCCACTTGAGATGTTTCTTTTGTCCACCTGAAATCAATATGTCATTTACAATCAATTCAATTTTTTTTTGCCCAGAGAGAATTGCCTTCACGTCCGGTGCTTGGTGCTTCCCGTCGTCTTCTGCAGTTCGCCGTTCGAGATGCTGTAAAAGCTGTACAGCAAACCAGCAGCTCTACGGAGCCATCTTCTAAGCGCCTACGCTCTGTTGTTTCCACGGTACCCACAGACAACCAGCATGGTAAAATGTCAGAAAGATCTACAGACAGCCTACATGACAGGAGATCAGAGAGAGCTACAGACAGCCTGCATGACAGGAGATCAGAAAGATCTGCAGACAAAACGAATGATAAAAGAGTAGAAAGAAAAAGGCAAATTCTACAAGTACCTGGAGCCGCTTTAGCTCTTAGAGCTGCTGCAGAGGCTGCTGCAGACTCTTCCAAAGCAAGATCTACTGGAAGTGTGTTCAGTAGATTGGGTCAAGGGAATGCTGTGAATCAACCATCTCGTTCTCGTGAAGAGAAGAGAGGCTATGATGATTTTGAACCAGCTACAACAATAGATGATCACGACTCTGATCAGCATGATAATGACGAGCAGATATCTGGAGACCTGGAGATAGCAGACGGGGAAGATGAAATGAATGTTGATACTACCTCTGATGAGGATGCGGACATAGATGATGAAATGACTAGATACCAAAGTTCGGATTCACATGTTGTGGAGAAGAAATATACATTGACAAAATGCAGTGCTGAACCTGAGACCAATAAAACAAAGCATTCAAGTTTGACTTATGAGGAGCAACCTGTTTCTTCGGCACCAATAAGAGCAAGCAAAACTGTTGCTGCTCCAGTTAACCCCATTTCTGTGGAACCTCCAAATTTTGGAACACCAAAAGATGTTCATGTTGTGGAGAAGCCGGACATCACACCCATGAATGCTAATGTTGGCCCTCCAGCTATTAATGTCAAAGTAAGTTACCTCATACATGCAGCAAGCAATTTTTTATGATAAATTGCACCATCTTTAGCATTTGCAAGTGCCTGTTCTGATTATAAGTTATGAAAGAACCATAACTCAGACCGTGTTAATAATCTATGTTTCTATGTTTTAGGTTTGAACAAGCGTAAACTTTTTAATATTTCCCACATATCCTAGCACAGACATTATTTTTCTGTTGGCCCTATACATGGTAGTGATGAGCTGTACTCGTTTACCATTTTGGGTTGAATGGAATATCAGTAGGAACACTGGGTCATCATGTGAAAACAAAACATATTATTTCAACAACTTGCTGGTAGATGCGTCTACTGGATTAAACGGGTCAGCTTACTTGTTTTGCAGAGTTACTTTAGTCAGCTTTGATCTCCATGTGACTAACGGGAACTTGAATGAAAAGCTAAAGCTATTATTATACCACTATTGCTTGAATTTAAGGCATAGGCACGTACTTTCCAATGGAATATTTCTTTTAATAAAAAGGAAGATCCACAGTCTGTTTCTTTCTGAGGGTGTTGATTACTTTTTCTGTTCTTTTGGTCATTGGCAAATGTTTATAGCTTATTTAGGAATTAGGAATCCAGTGGTAGATGTGTTCTGACTGTAAAAATTGTTCAGGAATTAGGTCATGGAGAAGTCCAAAAGGATTCACAGCGCTCTGCAACATCTGGTATGTAACGAAATTAGTGTTTGTAATATTCTTTTTGTAATACATCAAAGAAATATGCAAAGCAAGATGCTTCACATTTTACAGGATACCACTTATTATTTAATGTAACAAATATTGCCTTCCTTGCAGTTTCTAGTTCATATAGCACTGCCCATCCCACAGAAGATGCGGATTCAAGGACCCTCTATGTTAGCAATGTAAGTATCCTTCTCTCATCTCCCTTTCTATTGTATGTGATATGTCTTTAGACTCTTCTATTCACCTGCCAATTTTGTTTGAAGGTTCACTTTGCTGCCACCAAGGACTCACTGTCTCGCCATTTCAACAAGTTTGGTGCAGTGCTGAAAGTAGTCATTGTTACTAATGCAGCAACTGGGCAGCCAACAGGGTTAGTTTGTTTTTATGATAATTGTTTCAGCGATTAGATTTTTTTAAATGTTTCTATTAGTTATTTGTTACTTGCATCACATTACATGAGATAAAATTGCATGGTGGCTGTGGAGAAGTGAAGTGGAAGTTCATGTTGGCATATCTAGTTTGAAGCACTCATTAGGTGCTAATTTGCTTCTCCTGCTAATTTAGGATCAAAATGTCTCAAGACTTATGTGGATGTTTGATTCACTACTTGAGACTGAAACCAATACTAAGACAAACAGAAGCATGAAGTATACATCCAAGTGTACACAAAAGGAGGATACCGCAAAGAAATTGGAAGTAAAATTGTCAGTAGATTTGGTATCTGAATTAAAAGACCAGTCTGATACTCAACTAAAACCACAGCACTTATTTTGGATTGGAGCGAGTAGCATTTAGTAGGTGGTAGCAATAGATGCCTCAAACATCTTCATTGGCAATATTATTGCAAGTTACTGTCACTGAGGAAAGAACAAGTCGCATCATAGTCTGTCGTACTTTTCTTGAGTTTTGATTATTTGCGTGCAATTTGGAACCCACCGGTTAGGTTGTAGCTTATGTTAAGTGTTTGAAAAGTATATTGTATATGCCCATTTGAATTGCTATGACTGGAGCTGGGTTAAGAAGTTTAAGGATCTTAAAGATGAATGTTTAAGTTCATGGATCTAAGTTGAAGATAATAGCAAGTTGAAAGTAAAATAAGCTAGCTACTTCACTCTAAAGTTCTATTTCTTGAAAGACATTGCTGAATGTTTTTTTTCTGACACAGGTCTGCCTATGTAGAGTTTTTACACACAGAGTCGGCTGAAAGAGCTCTGTCATTGAATGGCACATCATTTATGACGCGCATTCTAAAGGTATGATTGCTACCTTCTTTTGAACATGTCATATACTTGTAATTTTGGCACTCAAGTAGAAGCGGAACATACAACATAATCCTTGTAACTATGACGTTCTGTAGATCTCGTGGCATGAGGGTTAGCATGTTATCACTGTTATTTTGTTGGTTAGACTTTTGGGTTGCCTTCAAACACATTGCGAAAGCCTCTGAGTACTGAGTGCACAGTATAATGATACTCATGCCATTTTTTCTATATCGTAGGTCGTGAGACGAAGCTCCCATGAAGCTGCTCACTTTTATGGTTGGCCTGGTAGTGGTCGATCATCATATGCTAGGGGTAGGATGGCATACCCAAGGGGTGTTCTCCCTGGTAGCTCGTTTAGAGGGCGTACTCCGATGAAAGCAGGTGCCAGAAGTTTTCAGTGGAAACGTGAGCCTTCAGGCACGGAGTCAAATGCAGGTGCAAAACCCGACATGAGTGTGGCATTGGCTTCAGCTGAGCAGGTGCTTCCACCAGCCACATAGGAGATATTATGTTATATTTGATCTAGTGAGAACCAATTGGTGTCTTCCAGTTGTCCAGCATGTTTAAATGAGAACAATAGGGCCAATAAGCTGACAACAAGATGGTTGCTCCAAAATGCTGCTTTGTAAAAAGGCTAAACAGGAAAAGAACATAAAAAGGGAAAAAAGGAAAGAAAAAAAGGGGAAAGGGATCCGGAGTCCAAACTTGATAAACTGCGATGCGGATGCTTGGAGATGGTTGTCCTTTGTCAATCGATGATCAGTCTGCCATAACAAGCAGTTTTCGTTAGTCATCTGAAAGGGGCTTACTCGGACTCGAAATAAGTTGCAGCTTTTCTGTTGTATTGGTGGTTGCTTCACTGAGGACTGGTTTCCAACTTGACCAAAAGGAGGTCCGGTTTTCGGACATGATATTCTAGCGCGTATGCGCTTTGTCAATGTAAGCCCCGACTGTATAGCATCCTATTTATCTGTACTCATCCTCTGGCCCCTTTCCCAAGCAAAAAAAGTTGAAAAAAATGAAAAAAATGTCTTATGTCTCTGTGTTATTTCCTATTGAACCGACTGTTTTTTGTTCATTTCTTATGTATTGATACTTTCTAGTTAAACATTCGTTTAATATATGTGCTGAACATTATTACATTTGGGTGTAACAATGTTCTGGAACACCCTGTCTGGCATGCAGCATCCATGTTGAATTTATGTATGCTTTTGAGTGTAATCCTCTGTTGTCATGTCACTGCATCCTGCACATAGTTATCCTGGCTGATCCGTGTTCTTCATCAGTCTGTTGTAGTAGTGTGTACTTAGGTGCCGTCTTTTTGGCGGCATTGTGTATACGCGCCTGTGTGATATACGTTTTGCGTGTTGTTGCTTTGGCCCTCATATGCAGTGGCAGGCCGGCGTAAGGGCAAACACTAATGCGCATATATGTGTACTTGTATGCACTCCAAGATCACAGTCTGGGCACAAGTTAGACCTTGCGGTATGTTTGAGCATAGGCACATTTTTTTTGGGGGGAGGGATGCGTATTCACAGAAAAATGCAAAGCTGCTGAGGCTATACCGTAGCGGGCTAGTGAGAAACAAACCACTTACTACTACGTCCACAAAATCCTGCGTCGCGAGCACGTGAAGCCACCTAGTGGGTTTAGCCTCCGGTCCGGTGCGGCGCGGCTAGTGGTTTTGCGGTGCAGCCTAGCGTCACCGCCCTGTCACGGCATCCATGGGCCACTGGGCCAGCGGGCAGTGGCGGAGCCAGGAAAAATTAGGAGTCGGGACGGACCGCAAGCTAACTAAAAATACGGCGAACCGCAATCGGGCATTTGGATACATATTTTGCAACTATAAGCACTAAATTAGAGAACCACAAATCAATACAAAGTCAAATGACCTATACCGCATTGTCCATAAACATACTCAATAAAAATCTGGAATTAAATACGTCAGCTAATTGCTGAATAAACAATACTTGCTCTAGGAATCCAAAAAATTCTCATATATGAAATTTAATAACTTAAGATTAAAATTTGATGATCTGGAATGATTGAACTAACTGACAATGGTTAGGTTGGAGGAGTCTAGAAGAAACAATACCTATGGGGAGTGGAGATGGATTTTTCTTCAATGAACGGAATGATGGAATCCCCAAATTCCTATATCCCTATAGATTATAAACCTACACAGTTAAAGATCTAAAATACGAGGAGTGAATTCTCATTCCATACCATAAATTTTGCGTGTGCATGACCACTGGTTAAATTTCCCAAATCTATACAACCTTTAACTCACCTCGCCTAATCAGCGGGTTTGAATGGCTAGGAGGAGTCGCTGTCGATTACCGTCTTCCTGCCCCTGTGCCCGTTAAATCACCGGTGCGTTCTGCCTTCTGCTAGACTGCGGCGGCCGACGAAGTCGCACGTATGGTCGTTGCGATCGAACTGATTGAGGGAGGAGGTTTTTTTTCTCAGATCAGATGGAGGAGGTGAAGACGCGTGAGCACACTGCGTTGATAGTTTTTTTTTAGAACTCACTGCGTTGATAGTTGTGCAGGCAGTTCTATCTCCCCTACGAGCAGCCATGGGCCTAGGAACAGCCGTGCAAGTTAGTTTTTTAGGGCTTGCCGTGCAAGTTAGTTGAATGGGCCTAGAGGGACCAAGGCCCAGCGATTTGCCCGGGCAAGTCATGATAAATACAGCTCATTAGTACGTGACGCTAACAAAAAAGCAAATTAGTACGTAGGGTCGTAGGGTCATAGCGTATTTTATACAGCAGCTGGCTGGTGAGCCCGGGCAGCTGCCCCGGGTCGCCGGGTGCTGCCTCCGCCACTGCCAGCGGGTGGTGTTTGCGTCGGTGTTAGGTTTGGGACCTGGCCTTTGTGGACATCTTACTTAAGATAATCCAGCGGCGTCATTAGCCATAACCCATGAATGCTCCATGGACACGTCGGCGGCATGCGCGTATGCATACTCAACAAGCCTCCTCTGGTATTTTCGTAAGCACGGTTCCCAGTTCCTTCGTTATACGACAATAAGGTGTGGCTCAGCAATGACCAAATCCTCCTAGTTATAAAAAAAATAAGGCCGGAACCTCTCCCCATCCTTGAAAAAAATGGTTGGATTCGTCCCCTCATGCCAACACTATGTTGTCACGGCCCACGGCGAGGACGCAGACGGAGATTAAAAACAATATCTTGTTGGATTTGGTTTGCCTGGGCTGGGCCACACTCTCCTCTTGTGCGGAACAGCTTTAGGTCTAATCTACGCAGGGGATTCTCTCTCTCTCTCTCTCTCTCTGCTGAAATATCATATGCTTACACCAGAGAGCAGAGAAAGCAGCCACTTGAGCCGTCACGTCGGCCTCGTCCTCGCGATCGCGATAAACAAATCGTGTTTTTTTCTTTCTCTTCGTTGGATTGGAGGCGATGAATGAATGGATCCTGTTGCTGTGCTTTGTGGGGGCAGCCCACTAAACCTGATTGATGCACATATATTAAACCGCCCAGTTGTGGCTCGAATCGACGGAGCATTAGTCGGCAAGTCTGGCAACGTGCCAGCCCCGTCTAGGCACTAGTAGGCAGGAAAAAAAACTGGATAACTGGATCCGCGTACCCTGTACCCTGAACCACATGAGTAGCATGCACGCTGTGGTTTATGCGGTATGCCTAAAACTAAAAAATGACGATGTAAAATCTGATTTGAAGACAAAATATGTCGTTCCGCACTTCGGTGCGTCTAGCAAGAGAAGGCGCCTGCGGTTTGTAGGTCAAAGCAGCTAATAACAGCGGGAGGTACAATATATATAGCCGTAAAAGGTCAAACTAGCTTCAACAGTTGGCTCGAATCAAACTGCCTCGAATGACTCAAACTAATACTGACGCCGGACTTACTCCACGCGCATATTTCCCCGCTGCCAAGGCCAACTCTACAAACGGACGTCCGTTTAGCCCAAATTCTGCCTATTTAGATAGGACAGTGGAATCATGTCCGGACCTGTCATGAGATACGGTGGTCGTGCGTCCAACGTGCGGACATATTCTATGGTCTTATTCTGTTCGTCACGGTCAAAAATGTCCATATATTCATATTTCAATGTTCAAAACTAGTTTGCAAATCCAAATATTAATTGTCTGAAATAAAAATAGTTTTACAACCCAATTAAAATTGTCTTTAATAAAATAGTTTTACAACCAAATCGAAATTGTCTTGAATGAACCAATACATCTATTGGTTGCCAATGTGAGTCCACATGTGCTCAACCAAGTCATTTTGAAGATCCAAATGAGTGTGCCAATCACGCAGTTCACGATGAAATTAGACAAACTATTCAAACGTGAGCGGTTCTTGGTGTAGGGGCTCAACATTTTCACCTTGAAAAACAAATCCTTGGTCGAAGATCATGTTATCACGCTCGTCCTCGATGATCATGTTGTGCATGATCACAAAAGCAGTCATCATCCTCCAAATCTTCCCTTCATCCCATGTCAGTGCAGGGTTTCGAACGATACCCCGTCGGGATTGAAGCACACCAAAAGCACGTTCCACGTCCTTTCTAGCACTCTCTTGCATTTGGGCAAGTCTCTTTCTCTTCTCACCTTGGGGGTTCGAGATTGTCTTCATCAAAGTTGACCACTGAGGATATATACCATCAGCTAGGTAGTATCCCTTGCTGTACTGGTGACCGTTGATCTCAAAGTTGACAGGTGGGGAGTGGCTTTCTGCAAGCCTTGCGAAGACTGGAGAACGCTGCGGCACATTGATATCATTGTGAGAACCTGCTATGCCGAAGAAAGAATGCCATATCCAAAGATCTTGCGAAGCCACCGCTTCTAATATGACAGTGCACGCTTTAACATGCCACTTGTATTGGCCCTGCCAAGCAAATGAACAATTTTCCCACTCCCAGTGCATACAATCTATACCGCCAAGCATGCTTGGAAAGCTTCTAACTGCGTTGGTCGGCAACAACCTTTCTATATCAGCGGCATTTGGCTGCCTCAAGTACTCAGGGCCAAACACTGCCACCACGGCCTTGCAGAAGTTGTACAGTGACAACAAGCATGTCGACTTACTCATACGCACATACTCATCCACCAGATCGCCTGGAATTTCATATGCAAGCATGCGGATGACCACGATACATTTTTGGTAAGAGGAAAATTCAAACTTGCCAAGGGCATCCGTCTTGCACTTGAAGTATGGGTCATGAGCAACCACTCCCTCTTGCATACGATTGAACATATGCCTTGCCATACGAAAACAGCAACGGTATTTTTCCGGCTTGAAGAGCGGGGTATTCGCAAAGTAATCGGCATAGAGCAGGGCGTGGCCTCTCTCTATTGCGGTTCAAGTTGGGAGCATAGCCAGGACTAACCCCCTGTACCGAGGAAGCTGCCGTTCAACGTGGTCGTGAACGACTAATGCAGCCACCACAAGATCTTCGTCATCCGAGGACGAATCGTCCGATGAATAAATAAAGTGGTGGAAGAAAAATTCATCTCCA